AAAGCATTATTATTATTAGATAGCACTTTACGGTGTGTGCTAGCCAAAAATCAGAGGTAAATGAGCCTGGGCATAGTGAGAGTAGTACCAGTGCAAAGGCAGCTCTGTCTAAAGCTGCTTATCATGTAAGACACGCAAAAACAAAGGAGATAGAAAAGCAGGATGGAGAGAGCAAGACAGAAAGGAGAAGGCTGCAGAGGGACAGGGAAATATGTTTTCATATGAAAGTTTTGAGCCAACTAATTGCAAAACATCCACAGCCCAAAGAAACACATGCGATTTTCCACCCCAGCTAGACTCTCCCCCAGACATGGTCCTTGAGCCAAGCAGCAGATCTGCAGAGGACAAAGGGCTCCAAACTGCTTTGTCCTCTGAGGGAAGAAGGTGTGCTTCACTCAGAGCTAGCATTTTCCACTTCTCAGTCTCCAAAACTCTCAAATACCAGTGTTCAAAGTAATTACAAGGAGGTTGTTGGTCCTTGCAGGGGAAAGGTCTCCAGAAGAAAATAAACCACTACTTCATCATGCCCTCTGAAGCACCACTACAAACATCAGAGCCCAGAAGGCAGAGCCACAGGCTGACAGCCAAGGAGCAAGGCCATTTGTATGACTTTGGGCAGATCCATTGACTTCTCAGTACTTCAAGAGCACAGGTAAAGGACTATTATATTACTGCTCTGTGATTGATATCTTAAGAATCTCATGTTAGTTTTGGAGTTTCTTATTTTCTTAGAGAAATTCTACTCAGTTCTGCTGCTGCTATCAGCTTTTTAATTCATTTTACAACAAGATATTTGTTATCAGAAACTGTGCTTTGATATGTGTCAGGTTGATGGATTCAATAAAAGCCCTGTCAGGAGAAGCTGAGTGAATAGGGTTGCAGAAGTAGTGTCATCAAGGGAATTGATACGTTAACAGCCTTTCTGCTGATCTTGCAACAAAACATGCAAACATAATAGGTGTTTTATTTCCTCACCCTGGCAAGACAGTTCAGAGAAACACTGGAAAACATTTCTGTTAATGTTACTCTTGCAAACAAGTTCAGCCTGCTCACTGATGAAAAAAACATATGTAAAACACAATCCTTGTGCTGTCCTGTTGTCCTGTTTGGTGTGCAAAATTCACTCCAGAAGAATAAAGGCTTTATTGAAAATACAGCTTTGAATTTCACTTTGGGAATTTGAGCAGACATCCTGTGATGCTCCAACTGAAATTTTCCTTCCATAATGTCAGAGGACAATTTTCCAGCCACATTTTCAGACACAGCCTGTAGACCTGCACCCCTCAGAGAGCCATTGAAAAGTTGCACTAGGGTCTTACTTCGACAGCCAAACCACAGGCACCTAAAATCAGTGTTTGATTCTGATTTAACGAATGGAATCGCATAAGAAGCAAGAAAAATTCAAAGAGAAAAATTATAACTTTTTATCAGACCACATAATATAGGGAGTGAGAGAAGGACACCTGCCCACTGCTCTACTATAAGTCAAGCAGGGCTTGGATATGCAAAGTTTCTGCTTCACCTATCAGAGCATCACAGCTGCAACATCACCTCTGCACTGCCCTGTAACTCAAAGAGGTGTTGTTAACTGGAACTGATTTACAGAACATCTGGAAAAAAGTTTAAAATGGGATGCTGAGATTCAGCTTTTCGAAAAGAGAAATAATATTACAGTCTAAACAAAGCAAAGGGAAAATCTCCACAGCAATTAATCTGAAAAAGGTGAATTACATTGAGGATTTATGCTCATGTAATGAAGACAATTAATTGCTACGAGAGCCATAAAACATTAAATGAACAGGGTTTTTTTCCAATTCTACTTGCAAGATAAAATTTATTAACTATGTTTAATGGCTACTTAAAATTTTTCTCTTACATATTTATTAAATGTGCCTTTTCAGCAGAACAGAACATTTTACTAACTGGATTCTACTAATCTAAAAATGAGCAATTTCAGAAAAAAATATTACCCTGCATGTTATCTGCAGATCCATTTGAAATAATTTCTTATACAATAAGATTACTATCACCACAATTGCATAAATGCTGCTAAAAGGGATTCTGCTCTTCTCACATGAGCAAACACTCTGCTGCAAAGATGAATGAGTTCAGCTCACATTATTTGGACAGATGTTTCAGTTTCCAGCAGAGATATGGAGCAAACGTTGAGTCCTGATGTCATTTGGTGTTACTGTAATCACTTAATTAAAAGCACCTCTCCTAGGGAGAGCAGGACATGTGGAAGAAACTAGCTTATATTGGAGCAGTGACCTCAACCGGATCCACATCCCAATCTGGTGCTTTGCACTATAGACTCAGCTGCTCTGCCAAGGCTATCTATGTGCCTCCAGCTGTGGGTATCAGATGCAGCTTCTGCAGCCAGATCACATGCAAATCAGAGACAGAGCTTCACCTCTTAAAAATGACCTAGGAGTGACTCTGTTCTTTATTCACCATATGTAAAATGGGCATAAGTAGCACTTCAGTCTTAGAAGGGTGTCATGAGAACAGATGAAGTCAATGGTAGTCAAGTATTCTGGTAAATTTGCATGAGACACAGAACCATAGAATCACTGAATTTAGGGGTTGGAATGGACCTTACAGATCATCCAGTCCCAACCCCCTGTCCTGGGCAGGGACACCTCCTCACTAGATCAGGTTGCTCAAGGCTCATCCAGCCTGGCCTTGAACACTGCCAGGGTTGGGGCAGCCACCATGTCCCTGGGCAACCTGTGCCAGTGTCTCACCACCCTTAGAGTAAAAAACGTTTTTCTTGCATCCAACCTAGACTTTCCCTCCTTTAGCTTGAACCCATTACCTCTTGTCCTATCACTGCAGTTCCTAACACAGAGTCTCTCTCTGGCTCCCTTGTAGGCTCTTCAGATATTGAAAAGTTGCTATGAGGTCTCCATGCAGTCTTCTGTTCTCCCTAACATGAGGAGAATTGATAAAGAAGGGTCTCAGCTACTTCAGTGAGAAATAACAGTTTCGCCAACTCTTTAAGCTTTAGCATGATCTTCTCAGTTTGCAATGGTCTTCTTAAAGATGATTTTTCCTTATAATATAAGAGCCAAGTTTTTAGATCTGACAGTGACAAAGTAAAATGCAAAAATATAGCCAAAGTCCAACCTAGAGCTTAATGCCTAAATCAATTGTATAGAAAATGCTCTTTGACCTCTCAAACTGTAAGGTTCTACAAAGTCCTGCACAACTTCTGCACTGGATTACCATTCATCCTGCAGACTGAGACGTGAACTGAGAGTTGGATCAGCTCAGGTGGGAAGGACTTGGGGAGCTCATCTAACCACCACCCTGTCCAAGGCAGGGGCAGCACCACGGTCACACCAGCAACCAACCTCTCTGGAGCATATCCTCACATGCCATGGGACCCCCTGTGTACCCAGCAAAACTCACACTCTCATTGCAAGAAAGATTAACATGCTTCAACTTACAAATCTCAAACATTACAAAAGGAATAAGCAAACTTACTGCGATTTCCACGTTACAACAGTGCAAAATTTTTCTCTGCAAGAGTCAAGAAGCTCTTTTGATTATGAAATACCTCTCCTACAGCCTTCCCTTTTAAGTGTTATAATCACAAGAGCAGGAGCTTGGAAATAAACAAAAGTGAAGAGGATAACAAGAGCAGGAGCAATGTTTAACAACCTCTTCTAGGAACCAGGCACCACCAGAGCACACAGACAACCAGAGCAAGCAGCACAGTGGTTTAATGATGGGAACCTCTCCCTGACAACGGTGTTGTTTTCTTGAAATGCCTGTACAAATTAACAAGGTATGCTGTGGTTGGAACAGACCTTTCTTGACCCTCAACATTTAAAAGTTAAGCACCTAATTTAAGCTATTCCCACCAGCTTTTCCCTGCACTCGCTGGAGACGAGCAGACTCTGCTAAGCGTGAGAGCTTGAGCCTACAATTTCCAGAGGTAACACAACTGGTGCAACCAGATCAAAGGCAAGAGAATTAATGCACACACGTCTAGATGCATAATGTTTTCTTAGACACGTTTAGGAAAGCCTTGATTTGGGTTTTCCCCCCCTCCTAGACACGTTTAGGAAAGCCTTGATTTGGTTTTTTCCCCCCTCCACCACTTACACCAAGTGCAGGTGTTACACTGCTGCGTCTTTTTCCCAGCAAGACTTATACTTCTGGTTCAGTCATATAAGAGAAGTCAATACTCATGTGTTAAATGAAAAAGGATAGCGTCATTTCATTCCATTCTACTGAGATCTGGGAACCATTGATTTAAATTTGGGTGGGTTTTTTTTTAATCAGCAACCTTTGCCTTCATAGAAGTAACTTGACCTAGATAAAAGAAGCTGTAGAATTAAGACCATATCACCCTAAAAGCTTCTATAGCACAATTTTAATCCACAACACATTTCTGAAGTCCTGGCTTCCAGGTTGTTGTTAAAAGATAGTTGCATATTGCCTTGATACAGTTCCAGCATATCCAAGGCAATGTTTGTGTGGATAGGAGAACCTCCACACAGGCAAAAATGTTAAGTGCTACACAAGAAAGGGACATACAAATATACAAGAAATTGGTAACAGGATTTCTGTCCTTGGCAAACAATGAGAATATACAGAGCAAGAAGAAAAGCACAGGGCTATATTACAAATAGACTGCCTCTTTTTTCCATCTCTGACGCTCAGAACTGCAGATATCAGGGAAACACGAGTGGGACTTGCAAAATGTGGGTTTCTACCACCAAGTGTACCTCACCAACAGCAACACACAACCATCAGCCAAGGTTTTGTTCAATGAAGCACTTGATACAAAATACACCCCTTCAAGCCCAAGGTTTTAAAAACACTTCACTCTTGATGAACACTTGCCAAATTCGGAGAGAGCAAAGGTTATTTACAGTTGCAGGCATGGCATGTATACAGCAATAAGCACAAAGGCTGCTAGTTTTCTATTTTCCCCGTATGTAGATATTCAGAAGAGACAAAAAAACAAAAGGGGGAAAATTACATACCTTACCAAACCTGAATGTTGAACACAACTCCTTTCAGAGCAACATTGGTGTGAAGGTAAGTTCCTCAGGCGACCACCAACCGCAATTCCTTTCCGAGCCCCACAGAGGCTCCAGCTCTCCCTTGCCCGTATCCCTGAGGAAGATGCAGTGTCCTCCAGTATTTCAGAGCCTCAGCTGCAGAAGATACTGCACAGGAAAAAAAAAAGAAAGAGAAGAAGGTGTGGCATTAAATTCTGGGGTCACTTGTTTGGCAGATTCAGAGCAGAGCACAAGACAACATTGGATAGGAATGAAATGTCAAGCCAGGACAGAGAGGCTGTGACAATCCATCATGTGTGGCACCTTTGGAGGGCAATCGTTGAATTCAAGAACTGTGGAGCAAAGCTATTCTTGCTTTACAGTACTTTTACATTGTCCCTACACCAGGAAATGAATGGCAGCCTGGCTGCTTTATATTCCAGTACTGCATGTAAAAGTATGCACTTCTCCATAGGGAATATTTTAATTCATTATGGCATTTCTGAAGAATAACAGGACTTTCATATTAAAAGCAAAGACATCACCTCAGTCTTAATACTTTGCACATTAAAACAGCCCTCACTCGAGGAATTCAAAGCTCCTGAAAAGGCAACAGGTCACCTTAGGAGCTTACAGCAGATCAGAAGTTGTGAGTCTCAGCCCAACACTTAGCAGTTCTCAAAGTTCAGCCTCCAATACAATTGTCAGAGACAAGTAAATGGCCTGGGGTTTTCTGGGAGCAGGAGTCTCAGCATCACCACATTTTCTAGCTCAGTATCACTTCTAGATGTGTCCAGTGTTTTCAAGATGTCTGAAGGCACTGAACATGGACGTGGAGGCCTCACTGCAAACACCCAGGTGAGAAGACGGTGATGGAAATGGCAGCAGCACTATCAGCAACCAGAAACCTCAGAGAAGCACTGTGAAGTTCAAATGGTCATCCCTGTCATTGCATTGATCATCCTTAATCCCTGGCATATGGGAAAACACTCAGTGAAGCATCCTTCCCTCATCCAGACAACACAGTCTGTAAAGCAAAACCAGGCACAGCAGCACAAAGCAGGTGAGGACTGAGGAAAGAGCAGGATCCAACCTCCCTAGGTCAGGTGCATGTATGCTACATGGTTTGTGTCCTTAAACCAGGCTCAGACGTGCTTTCCTAGCTTTAACTCAGCAGCCCTGACCATACTCTAACTTTGACTAGAAATGCAGGAAAAAAACCAAAAGGCAAAGAGGAAAAAAAGAGATATTCAGGAGATCTCCTTCATAGCATAAAGCGTGTAGCAGCTTGAAATACCACAAAATCCCATTAGAGTTTCACAAAAAATCCTGAACCCATGAACAGGTTACATCTATCTGGAAAACCTGTTAGCTTTTTGGGCTTGCAAGAAGGAAGATTTCAGTAATCAGCATGTGAACCTGTGCACACTGAAAGTTAGGGTCATACTGCCTTATACAGTTACAAAGAGACAGAGAGAAATATACTCTTTTTTAACTATTATTTTTTTAAGCCAAAGTTCACATAGCAAGCATGGTCACACAGATAAGAATAATCAAAAATATTCGCTTTTTTTAGCACTAATTACTTTGCTGGACTTTGTGTAAGTGGTTTATGTTACACCTAAAGGCTCTACAAGTAGAACACCTTGTGAGATACCCACAACAGGAGCCAGGATGGCAGGCCCTGCATTTCTTGGTACACACTTTCAGACTTTCTGGCTCTCTTCAACTCAGACATGAAGGACAAAAGTGGACCTTCACAGTTCCTGTCGTCTTCCAGGCTAACCATGAAAAATCAGACTGCCAGCTGAAATGGCTGCTGAATGACTTATGGGTATAGAAATGGCTGATGCTGCAGTAGTTTGATCTGCAGGCAGCAGCAAGACCTAATTTTACTGCTTTTAAGGGATTTTATCTCTGGAGACCACAGTTACAATTACTTTTTCATTTTTACTCATAAATTGTAACGCAGAATAGTCATGAAGAAAATCAGTGCTACATTTTTGTGCATTAACCACAGCATCAGCTGAGCTGAGTAGTGAAAGTAACAGTAATAGGACTAGATCATCATTGCAAGCTGAGTGCAGGAGCTTGGTCTCAGGTTGGAAAAGATGTGGGTTTGAAAGCTCCTGTTTAGCACAGCTTGCCAATGCTCATCAGAAGCAAATCTCTTGGGTAAGAAGTTGGCAAGTTGCCTTAAGATGCTGCTATATATGCATACAGTGTTTCTGTATCGTTTGAATTCCTGCTCTGCTGGATGCATCCTCAATCCCACAACCAGCAGAAACATGAACTTCCAGCTCTTGGGGAAGACAGAAAAACCAAGCTACCCTCTTCCTTGTTGCTGCCAAGCCATTGCCTGGTCCAGACTGAAAGTGCAGAGTACTACAAACATGCAGTAATGTGAAGGACGAGAAGTAAGGGAAAGTGTGGACATGGAGGGGAAAACAGCCCAACAGCCATTGCATTATGACAAAATACTATAGCTGTGCACCATTCCTGCCTCTTACAATACACAAAGATGGTGCAACGTAACAAAATAAAATCCATGGGCAGATTTCCAGTGAGCAGCAAAGTGCAGATGCTCCAGCGTGAACGCAACAGGCTTCCTCCACACTCTGATGCTGTGCATCACACAAATACATGGAGGGAGGCAGGTCAGGGACCATCCTAGTCAACAACAGAGTAAGGTAAAAGGCTGCAAAAAATTAATGCAAGGAAACCATCATGAGCTGTAATTTGTATTGGCTCAGACATTTCCAGGGGGAGAGGGGGGAAGAAGAAAAAAATTATAAAAAGAACATATGCCAATTCTGTTGCCCAAACCTGCATGATTTTGCAGAAAACCTCCATATCAGTAAGTCACTGCTGAATTGGTGGTCAGTGTCCTAACAGGCAACTGGTTTCCCTCTCACAATCAAGGAACCTGGAGAGTCCATCACAAGCTCCCGAGATGCTTCTCGGGCTTCCTGGACTTTGGGCAGCTCTAGTGAGCAGCTGCCCCGAGGGCTGGGAAAGCTCAGGCTCATGGTGGGCTGACAGAGCCAGTACCCATGCTTACAACCCCTGGACTGTCCCACGACTGCAGAGTGAGAACAGATTGCCTGAGAAGTTGTGGGTATTCAGGTTGGACAGGGCTTGGAGAAATCTGGTCTAGTGAAAGGTGTCCCTGCCCCTGCAAGGGGGTAGAACTAGAAGATCTTTCAGGTCCTTTCCAATCCAGGCCATTCTATGATTCTACGATCCCTGATAAAAAACATCCATTTCAGTCTGCAGCTGCTATAGAAGCTGGTGCTGTTCCTGTCTGAAACAAAACCACTTATAAAAATGCTCCATGTACTAGAAATCCCACACGTTTGTTGTGTTGTCTCTGAGTTGTTGTGCTCCCACATCAATCTTTGATCAGACATGTGGAGGAAACCACTGATAAACCGTGAATTACTTTCATTATCCCACCACTTCAGAATTTTACATTCAGTTAACATAGTTAAGTGGTATCAGATCAGTCTTCCAGTCACAAAAGCCAGCATATGGATGTTCTCATTAATCGGAAAAGGCAGGCAAGGCATTTTTCCAGTAAAAAGAGAGTATTTCCCTTGGAGGAGTCTCAGTCCTTTACTGATAGAAAGCATGAATTATACAAAATAGCTATATACTTTAGATGGAACAAATCAGATCAAATATTAAACTTGAAGACACCATTTCTGTCTTGAGATGTTCCCAGACCACAAATCAATGAAGGCTGGGAGACTCTCTCTCAGGAAGCTTTGCTATACCTTTGTCCCATTCTTATCCTTGTCTTTAGGCATCACTGTTGGGCTGGAACCTTCTCTGATCCAGCACACTCATCCTTACATTTGTGTGTCATAGAGCTCAAGGTGCAGCTTGGGCCTTGTGGCCCAATATGACAATATTGGTATTTACAATATTGGTATATGACAATACTGGTGAGCATTTGCAACTCCAGTTAGGGCAAAAAGAGGTATCAAGAAGCTAAACAACATATTTGCAAACAAATATTACAGTATAGTAGATATTCAATTTAGCATTAGTTTGTCTCATCAAAAATTAATTGCAACCTACCTAACTACAATTGAAGAAATCAGTTGGGCATAGAAAAGATTAAATATTTAAAAAGGCTGACTTAAAAATAATTGAAACCATAACTCCTTGCTTAAATATTAAATTTCTTTTATTTTTTACTACTTGTGTGGCCATTAAGAAATCAGAATTCCACATGTGTGTCCATCCAGGTAGTTGTCTATGACACGTTTAGGTATATGGTACATGTAATTGAAGAAATCAGTTGGGCATAGAAAAGATTAAATATTTAAAAAGGCTGACTTAAAAATAATTGAAACCATAACTCCTTGCTTAAATATTAAATTTCTTTTATTTTTTACTACTTGTGTGGCCATTAAGAAATCAGAATTCCACATGTGTGTCCATCCAGGTAGTTGTCTATGACACGTTTAGGTATATGGTACATGTTCATGTATAGTCTCTTCGCTCTTTTAACTAGACTTGGGTTAACATGTTCAGCTAATACTAGAGGAGCTCCTCTGCTAGAGCCAGAAGAAACAAGCAAGGGAAAACACATTTTTACTGCTAAGTATTTAACAAGGTCACCTGCCTCTGCAAGTGCAGGGAAAAAGATCCCACAGCAGACTCTGAACACAGCAGGGGATTATACCAATTCATTAGCAGGTATATCTTCTAATTACAGCCTCAGACATGAGTCCCCATACAGCTGAGCAGGGAACAACTGCTGCTTTTTGCCATATCCTCAGGATCAAGCTCACAGTTTCTTACTCAGCTCCAGAACAACATGCCTCAGTGCAATGCCACCACACAGGCTTCAGCCCAAAGCAAGGGTAGGCTGTTATCTCAAAGGATGCTCCTGACTCCTCGCAGCTCAAGTCCCGAGGGAAGTCAGATTCTACATTTTTTACGATTTGTTCCTCCGCTCCTGCTGCATCAAGGAAGCTGTGGGATCAACAGCTCATCCTGTCAGCTTCATCTCCGGTAAAGATCTCACATTAATTTAGTATAAAGGTGACACTGGTGAAGAAGGAAATAAAATGAGACTTTGAATCCCTCCTTCCAGCAGGCTAATAGTAAAAAATTGGTAGCAATACAACTTTGGCACATTTCCAACTATAACACTTAGAGTATTGCCCACAGCTGTGTCCCAGACATACTTTATCATTCACGATGGCTCACTACAAAACATAAATAAAACAGAAGTCGCCAGTGCTACTGGCACTCAGCTGTTTTGAGGCTTTTTTATTTTTCCCTTCCCTGCCAGCAAAACAAATAGTGAAACAGCAGAACTGCAATTCAAGTGATAACATCTCTGATTAGGAAATCTGGTGGAGGCTGGTGGTGTGCTGGGAAATTAACTCAATTAAAGAATGCAGGCAGTAATAAACTGAATATAGAGACAGGGATTAATATCACGGAATAGTGTGATGTTGCTGAAGATCAGCATTGGGTACAAACTAATGGTATCCAGGAAAAAGTAAAGAAGAGCAGTGGTAAATCATGCTTGTTGTAAGAACTGTTCCCATCATAGAATCATCAAGGCTGGAGGAGAACTCTAAGATCATCAAGTCCAACCATGAACCTGCCACTCTGCTGTAACCCCTGAACACTAAACCATGTCCTCCAGCCCTAGATCCAGATGTCTTAAACACTTCCAAGGATGGTGACTCCACCACCTCCCTGTGCAATCTATTCCAGTGCCTGAGAGTATCATCACAACAGCATCAATGCTACATTATGAGGCTCAAGAGTGTGATTAATATCTTGCTGTGTTAGCAAATGCTCCAACACTGTAGTTTTGCTGCTGTTGCATGTGACTTTCTGAAAAGGAATCCAAGAAATGCAGTGGAAATACTTTCAATTTGAAATAATGTAAGCTCCTTTCTTCGGCAGGAATGTTTTAACCAAGGCTGCTTCTCAAGTTCAAAAGCATTAAGTTGCAGGCTACAGTCTAACTCTCCAGCTGCCAATGCTGCATTATACTATTAAGTGGTTTTATTATTATTACTCTGACTACTACAGTCTGGTTAGACTATAAAATAAGATCTCTTGGGCTCCTTAGACTCAGATGTTTACATCTGCCCTTGTACTGAAGCTCTTTCGTGAGATTATTGTTTCTTCTGTCAGTTCAATTGAAAGCAATGATGAAGTTATTGCAATGCATATGTCCTTGTCAAATAATGCTTTCAAAGGGTTGGAAGCACATTTGTGGGGAAAAAAAAAAGCAATGCTTAACTCACTTCCCAGATTTAGGAGAGAGTGAGTAGCAAACAGCTTGCACTTAACTGGTCAGATCATCAAAATAATCCAGTAATGAAATGAACCTAGTTTTCCCACCAAGAGCTGACAGGTTTATATCAGAGGCAGCTCTGTGATACAAGCTTTGTTGATAGAATAATATCTAACTGAATTTCCTCTTACGCTAACTTAAAATGGGAATCTAACTAGAAAATAATCGTGTCACTCACCTTAGTATCACAGTTAAGCTACAAGCCTTACTTTCATGTTGAGTAGGGAGTAACTGGCTCTGTCAGGTCTCTTCACAGCAAATTTGAAGCATGGTTTTCCAGCCCCAAGTGCACTGCATCTGCATTAACTTGTTTCCCGTCTCACTAAAAAGCTTCATTTCCAAATTTAGGATGGTAGGGTCCTTAACTCATTGCTAAGCTAAAGTCAGTGCCTTTCTTTTCCCTTATCCTTTCCTTATCCACTTTTAACTGAGCCAGGGACTGAAGTTTTGCAAAAGCTGGGACAGATTCTCTCTTTTCCAGCTTCTCCTCTCCTCCTGTGGCTCACATTTTCACACACCTCTGCCAGGGTGTTTCTCAGGGTGAGGATTCCCCTCTGCACTGACTGTGTCCCAGGGGTGGGATGTGCTGTGAAAACCTCAGCTGACCCAAGGGAAACAAAATTTATCATTATGTGCAACAATGCAGAATAAATTATGTTAGCCAGGGAAACAACATTTTTTGATCCATCCCAAAATAAACTTCCACCCATGCAAAGTAAGTGCACTGAGCCTATTCTGGGATATGTTTTCTACATTCTGTAATGCAGGTACATTCCAGGATGAAGAATGCTGTTTATTACTACAAGGTTCAATACCTTTGGATCTCTTTACCACAACTGATGGCACATAAGTGGATCCTATTACAGGATCAGGACATTAGAGCATAAGCTTTTTATACACATACTGCACTTCTCTTTCTCTGTATCCAAGGTATTAACTTGACCACTATTAACTTTAATCTCATTTGAACTCGGTGCATTTCTATTTTGTCACCTAAAACTGACTTCT